AATAATTGTATGAGGTCTGGCTTGGCACCGTTTACCTTTTATACGAACGTGATTAATGATATTAATGTCGAGTGGTCGCATAGGATTCAGTAAAGGCGATGAATACAATCTTCTTGGGTAGTATTTGTTTGTTATGTGAAATAGAATCAAACGGTAATTCGGTTGTTAGTTATTCATGTAGTATGTCGAACTATGTGATGGAATCGATGAATATCGTGAGAGAATACCGCTATTTGTAATAGGAGACTTATGGAAGACTATTAGAAGAAGAAGAGTGGATTAGAGCGGACCTTTATTCTTGGAACTGTTGGCATGTTATTATTCTTGACAGTGGATCGTGTTTAGAGATGGAAGAAGTGATGTTTTTTCTCAATGGTATTAATGCCAGTTGTAGGGATCCTCAAAATGATCAGAGTTACTTGTGCGACTGTGACGGTGAGTAGAAGCCCAATTTGCAATGGCTAGTTTTGCTTTTACTAAAGGTTTGAATGTCTTTTCGTAATCTGTTATATTCGCCCTTGGACAATAGGATAAATGCTACTTCAGTTGAAAAGAAACTTATTGACAAAGTAATGGGAAAGGTGTCGAAGGATAAAAATATAGAGATTGAAAATTCGAAATTGGAAATCTTGCAGATAGACATGCTGAAAAAAATGTCTATAGATAAATATGCTGAAGTGTACCGCGATCAAAAGATAAAAATGTCGACTTGTTGAAACATCGAGACAGTGCAAGTTATTATTTAGTGGATGATAAATGGTTTGATATATTTATTTTATTTATAGAACTTGTATTGATAAGGAAAAAATGTTTCTTTTTTTACAACGAGCAAAGGTAAGATGCAAAGGAATTTTAATCAACAAAGTAACTTGAATGGTGCATACGTTTCACATCTGTTTCTTCGCTCCAACAATACATGACAAGCTGGAAAGAAGGTCTGATGAACTGATTATGGCATGATTATATTGACCATGCAAAGTGTTGATGGGATGTTGTATAAATGTTGCCCATGCAGGTTTTGAGGTTGAGAGTGAGAATGAAAGATCATCCTCGTCCTCATTCTGAAAACTCGTATTTCAATTAAGGATAAAATGAATGGTATAATCAATTAATAAGAACGATTGCGAGGCCATCATATTACACCAGTTGGCTCAGTGTTATTTTCGTATCAGTCATCGAGCATTCATATTTTCATATCTCATATGAATTTCGAACAACGAAAATAACAAAACAGGATATATTTTAATAATTTTACTTTCAGTATTTTTTCTATTTGAGATTTTAACTTTGCGACATTTTTACTTTCTACAATTTTATTTTCGACTTTCTTCTTTCGACATAAATTGAGTGAATGAAAAATAATGCATTGCTGGGGAAAATCTTTAACCTTTCACTGTCAGATCCTTTCCAGATACAGCCAGGATCCTGCAAGGATTCGCTCTTTTTCCCTGAGAAAACGACTAATCCCTGAAAGAAACGTGTAGCCGTCAAATTCAAGGATCCTGTCAGGTTTGGAAACAGGATTTTTCAAAGATCCTGTCATATTGGCTTCAAGATTTTTATAGGATCCCTTTAGGATTTTCACAGCTATTGTTAACAAAAACTTAGAATCCATTCAGAATACTATTTGATTCCATGACTTCTTCCTTTAATTTTCCTGAAGGAACTTGACAGAATCTATTACGACTCAACATGTAATACTTTGTTAGTTCATAGTTAGTAGTGTAGAACTTACCAGTATCGTGACAGGATTGTGCTAGGATCGTTGCAAGATATCATTATGAATTTTCTGCTTTATTCTTCGCTTCTTTTTCATTCATTTAATTCGAAATTTAATGAATACATCTTTCAATTTATCCATTACTTTTTTATGTTTTTTTTTATCATTGACTCAACTAAAAACCATTTAAACTTTTTTATCGTGTACTTTTATTTAATTATGTTCATAGGAATATGAGTAGCTTGTGGGAATGATAAATTCATCACTAAAAGCAACAAAAACAGCGAGAACGAATAGAAATTATAGGACAAATATCAATATGATGAGATTTTAAGAGCGACGGTTCAACACGCTTAACAACAATGTACACGTTATCTATAAAACCTTTAATAGCAGGTACATATCGATACGATGAAAAACAAGAATTTAAAGAATAATTAACACGAGTTAATTTTTGGATAACAGCTGAACAATTTCCATCCGTTGAAAGAAAGAAGAGAATATAACCATACGCAAGGACATCATTTTTCTCATAAGAAACTAAATGACTACACGTTGAACCTTTTCGAGAATAAAGAAAAGAGTGATAAGTGGTATTAAGATAATGAAGACGAGAAAAAAATATCGTATTAGAAAAAGCCAATTGATTTCCTGCTTCAGAAGAACCTTTCACAAATGCTTTCAAATGGCTAAGAAAACTTTCGAAAACAAAGTTTGTTAACCAGTTTAATCGACCAAATTTTTTACATTAAAAAGGAAGATGGAGATGAGTATGAGTTGATATTGTAAATAGTTTGGGTGGATACACATTGGAAATAACATTTTTTGATAAGTTTTTAATGTAAATTTTCAATAAACTAGATATTGAATCACCTAATTTTTTATCATTATCCCAATAGTCATGTAAAAGACGACGAATAACATTGTATAAAGCAAAATCTCCAATTCTTTCTTCAGGTAAAATTTCAGCAAGTACAGGCAAGTCAATATATAAAATAAATAATCGTACTTCAGATACTTTCCAATTTTCAACATTGGAGAACGATCGTGGTCGACGAAGAATATCATGTATAAAACTTATTGAACGAAGTTTTAAATTAATTTTTAAAAGATTTTCTCTTGTGATAAATGTTTGTAAACGAATAAGTTTTTTGGAATGACGACATAAGAAAACTGTATGCATTGCATCAATAACAACGGAGTGAGGTAGAAGAACGTCGAGAATCTCGGAAAAAGCACTCAAACCTTTGCCACCCAGTGTTCTTTTCCGATCTATTCGTGTTTGCATTAAAGCAGCTAATTGAGCATATTTGTCGAAATTCTCGCTCGTCCTTAACTCCGTATCATTATCGATAAGATATATTGCGCAATGCTCATCATGATTGTAGGTCCCTTTTATGTTGCAAAACATGCATGCATAGAAAGCATTATGTTCTACAAACTGGACCATAGTAGATAAAGCAGCCATATCGTCCATAAGCATAGGAAAGAGAACTTTCACTATTTGGTTATTATTTACGTCAATACCCCCATTTTTAAGACGAGATATTCATTTAGAAAGTTTTTCAAAAATAATATTAAAGTTTGACTTTTGTATTCCTATCCAAAGAGAAAGAAGAAGAGTGTTATCAGCACAAGTTCTAGAATATGGTGGAAGTTTCAAAACAGCACCTAATATAGGCGATGCATTACAATTTTTAGATTTATAAAGAGGAATGGCGTCACTATGTATCATAACAGATACAAAAAAATCTTTATGAACATTTAGTATAGATTGATAAACATCACCTCTAACAACATCGTTTGCATCAGATGTAGTTTGTGTTCGTGCTTCATTTTGATATTTTTGAAGTAGATCTATATTTTTATCAATTAATATCTTCAACTGTTCAGCTAAATCGAATGAAACAATTTCAACAACATCATCAGATGGAATCTCCATTGCTTCATAAGTACAAGCAGTTGTTGAACAAATTCCATGTGTTGATGAATGATAACACACGCCACATATCTTTTCTGATTGATATAATTTTCCAATACCGATATATTTGTTCTTATTTTGTATACGATTTACCTCTGTTTGATTATTTGTTGCAACAGAAACAAGATCATGATTATCTTCAGATAACGCAATAGGATCTTGTTGTGGGTGTTTGTTTTGTTCCTGTTTTTGACTTTTACGCTTTTCACTCTTACGAATATCAGTAACTTTTTGTACGAGACTTGTTCGAATGGAAGCCCATATACTATCCATATCTTCCTCTTTAAAATCAAATCTTTGCCGTACGGCTCCTAGGAAAAAAAAGAGGATAGGTATAAAAAGATAAGAATATTTGTAAACTTTGAAGTGAATCAACAGATTCTTGTGGAATTGGAACACGATTTTCTGTATGACCACGAAAATCTGATAAACAACTTCTTGTACATTCTGCATCTGTTAAAACAATACGTGCAGCTGATAATAAAAATCTACTAGCCGTTTTGTCACGTAGTGTCATCAAGTTGACTTTATTTACGATCTGAAAAGAAAACTTGCCATTCTAAAATAGATTCATGTGCACTTACTAAAGGTTCAGTTGGTGGTGATAGATTAGGTTTCTGAAAAAGAAAAATAGTGATAGCTAAAACCTTCCAATTAATTCCTGTAAATCGTCAAGTTTTTTTCTATTTGATCGAGATTTTATAGTTTTATCTGGTGGAACTGTATTAAATAGTGAAACCATATGTAAATAACTGGTGACATACTGTACCTTATTTGTATCCGATGCTACTTTTTTCATCATTTTTTAAAAATCACCTACGTTGTTTTGAACTATTTTCACTACTTTATTTTCAATATCTGATGACAACAATGGACCTGATGATGCTAATTATTCTTTTGAAGATTTTTGATCAGGCTTGTTTTTTTTTTATATTGATTTCACATTGGAATTATGAACTCGTTCTAAATTAAAAATATTAAATCTTTCTAGACTTTTATACCCTGAAAGAAATTTACATATATAGTCCAATTACAAGACTTCAGAAAACCAAACATAGTTTTCTCCCCTGTTTTCTAAAGTCCCAAGGTAAATGACATGTGCTTCTGTTCTGATGGGGATATAACCGATTATTATTGATTCAGTGCAAAAAATGCAACAAGCGAAAGGAGTCTTTCAAAAAATCTGTGATAAAATTGGAAATCAGTTTCAACAGTTATACAGAATTTTCCCTTTAGCTCAGCATAAAAATAAACTTTCATCAATATTTTACAGAAATTTAATATCAGCCGAGAACAGACTTTTTTCTTTATTTTGTCATAAATTTTATTTGTTTTAACGTTAGACTGTTTTAAAAGAATAATACGATCATTACTCACTTTTACTAATTGATTTACTGATTTCTTCCATAAGTTCAACTTCTTCGCCACTTGAAGCAACGGCAGATTTATTGTTTGTTGTTATTTTGGCCTTTTTCTTATTACGATTTTTCTTACTTGTATCAAGACCACTATTGTATTCGTTTTCCAGCAAAAATAAAAAGAATAAACGTAAAAGGGAACACAGATAAATAAACATCCCAGATTATCGCTGCTGTTGATGCTGCTGTTTTCATTATCAGATAATTCAGTTTCAGCTGAAGACCATTGTTTTTTACTGGTAGCAATTGTTTTTTCAATGATTCTTGAGCTTTTTCATATTCTTCTATTGTTCCTATAAAATATACAAACTATAAAGTTAGAGATAAAAACAATAAATAAATACCTTTATTTTCAATACGGCACTCAAACCATTGTTTCCCAAATTTTGCTTCAAAGCCAAATCGTCCTTTCGAATGAATTAAATGTTGTGGCCAGATTCCATGAGTACCTTCTGATGGACACGAAACAAGACAATGACGTTGCATCATATTTGTTTTTGAGCCTTTTACTACGCTGTAATTTTTCTGTGGCATGAGCTTTACCTTGAACAACTTCTTACTATGACTTAAGTTTACACGAAAACGATCAAAATCTATACATAAACAAACAACAAACGGTTAGTTGAATCAACGTAACCAATCAGAAAATTTTGAGCAGAACAATCAAATATTCATGGTGCCCACAACATATATGAATAAATTATTTTATAATTGATTTTAATAAACACTTAAATTCAGGAGAGAGTAGCTCAATGATGAATTTTATTTTAAAACGGCTTTAAAATTATTGGCGCCACCATACAATATCAAATGAAACAGAGTCGATCTTAGTTTCAACAAATATCTTACAACCGAACTACCACAAAAAACATTCTCCTTGCTTACATTGACGTTTGAAAGCGCATGAGTTTTAAGTTGAATGAATACTAATCAAAAGCCAGTTAAAAACATAAGGAAATCTTTTCATATATTCTTGCCAGGATCCTTAATACAAACAGTGACAAATCTTGACAGAATCTTCGAAACTAAACTCTGAATAGACATCATACATACATCTGCAAAAATCTTCATAGGATTCTCCTATTTGCTCACCAAGCTTCTGATCATAGTTGACTTGTTTTATAAGAATTCGAAATGCTTGTTCTTGAAGAGTTTCGAGCAGGATCGTGATCGAAGCTTGGCCAGATTTATTGTTTTAGGATTTTGATAGATCTTGTATTAATTGTGGATGTGAGTGTAGGTGTGGATGGGGTGTGGATGTGGGGATGGGGGTGGGTGTGGGTGTGGGTGTGAGTGTGGATGTGGGTGTGGGTGTGGATGTGGGTGTGGGTGTGGGGTGAGTGTGGGTATGAGTGAAGGGAAGATTAACACCCACACCCACAGCCGTCAAGATCTACTTGAAAAGATCTATCATTGGGTTGGCAAGGTCTTCTAGGAAAATCGCGACGGGTTGTGGCAAAACCTGAGAAATTCAGCCCTGGATTGGCCGGTTTCCAAGAGTCCAGAGCATGATATCGAACTTAAATGGTGTCCATTAGATAGCGTGCGTCAGGATCTACTTGAAAAGTTTTATCATTACGTTGGAAAGATCTTCTGAGCGAATCGCGACAGGTCCTACGGAATTCCGTGGTATTTTGGTGCATTTTGTGTAGTTTTAGGCGGTATTCTGGTCTCAGGAAGGATTTCGTTTGCAGAGGATAGTCGGGATGGATGGAGCTTGCAAAAATCTACTTGGAAAGGTGTTTATCTCGGTTGGAAAAGTGTTTGGGTGAATCCATTCTGGAAAAACTCGAATCCTGACCTAAGATATCCTACGTGTGGTACTTTTGGCCACTAGTGTATTCCATAACACAGAAAGAAAGGTGTTAGCGCTATCCTTGAAGGATTAAAATGTGAACCACGATGAATCTGCTTATATTGTAAATGAAGGGATTCAGTAACATATCTATCAGTTTTTGAAATATTCGATACTGTTATAGTGAGCGCTGAAACAGAACGAAAAACATGTATTTTAAGTTCCATCGTTTTTTAAAAAAATTTCACAATAAACTGCAGTGTCGTGGTTATTTCAGTCACGATTTGTGACGGTTTCGATAGTAATGTCGGTTATGATCCGAGGGGAGTAGACCTAAATTTCTACTCTTATACTTCAACACTCTTGTTAGATCGTGTTTCAAA